TTCCTTTCTATTTTCTATTATATTCCTTTATTTTCTATTCTACTCTGTTCTGTTTTATTCTTTTTTTTTATTTATTTTAATTTCAGAAGACGGTTATATTTGTTCTATTTTATTTATTTTTTATTCTGTTCTGTTTTATTCTATTCTATTCTTTTTTAAATTTGAATTTCAGAAGACAGGTATATTCTTTCTATTTTGTTCCCTCTCTATTTATTTTCTATTCTTTTCCAATCTATCTTTTTTACTCTATTATTTTTCTTTTCTATTCTATTCTTTAAAATTTTGGAGCACAGCTGTACTCTTTCTTTTCTATTCTGGTCTATTCTATTTCTATTATTTTCTATTCTATTCCTTTATGTTTTATTCTATTTTATTTTCTATGATATTTTTTTTTACTCTGTTGTTTTCTATTCTGTTCTGTTTTATTCAATTCTATTCTTTTCAAAATTTGCATTTCTAAAGAGGGCTATATTTTTTTCTATGTTATTCTATTCTATTTTATGTTAACTTCTATTATTTTCTATTTTTTTTCTGTTATATTCTGTTATATTCTAAATTGTAATTTCGGAATACGGCTATAATCTTTCAATTCTATTCTTTTCTATTCTAGTCTATTATTTCCTATTCTATTCGTTTATTTATTATTCTAACATTTTATTTTCCACTCTTCTTTTCTATCCCATGTCTTTATTTTCTATTCCATTCTATTCTATTTTATTTTCTAATCTCCTCCATGCTCTTGTCTCCTGGAATCTCTTCCATGCTCTTGTCTCCTGGAATCTCCTCCATGCTCTCGTCTCCTGGAATCTCTCTCCATGCTCTTGTCTCCTGGAATCTCCTCCATGCTCTTGTCTCCTGGAATCTCCTCCATGCTCTTGTCTCCTGGAATCTCCTCCATGCTCTTGTCTCCTGGAATCTCCTCCATGCTCTTGTCTCCTGGAATCTCCTCCATGCTCTTGTCTCCTCCAATCTCCTCCATGCTCTTGTCTCCTGGAATCTCCTCCATGCTCTTGTCTCCTGGAATCTCCTCCGTTCTCTTGTCTCCTGGAATCTCCTCCGTTCTCTTGTCTCCTGGAATCTCCTCCATTCTCCTGTCTCCCGGAATCTCCTCCATGCTCTTGTCTCCTGGAATCTCCTCCATGCTCTTGTCTCCTCCAATCTCCTCCAATCTCCTCCATGCTCTTGTCTCCCAGAATCTCCTCCATGCTCTTGTCTCCTGGAATCTCCTCCATGCTCTTGTCTCCTGGAATCTCCTCCATGCTCTTGAGACTGTGCTGGGAGACACAGCAAACCTTCTGGCAATGGTACGTATTGATGTTCCATCCTGGAGGAGTTGGACTGCCTGTGCAACCTCTGTAGGGTCCAGGTATGGCCTCATGCTACCAGTAGTGACACTGACCCCGTCAGTGTCAAAAAAGATGAGTAGGGAAAAAAATGTCAGTGGCCTCCACCTGTAAAACCATTCCTGTTTTGGGGGTCGTCTCATTGTTGCCCATCTAGTGCACCTGTTGTTAATTTCATGAACACCAAAGCAGCTGAAACTGATTACCGCCCCCCTCTGCGACTTCCCTGACCAGATCCATATCCCGGGAGTGTCACTGACTTGATCCTAGATTACAAGTCTTCCTTTCATTTTTTTTGAGCCAGGTTGAAACAAACGCACTGCTCCAAAGTGCGACGCTGAGAAACACGCAAAAAAAAAACCGCACCGACTGGAACGCCATGAAGGCGGGGGACCGTAGAGAGCAGTATGCACGACTCCACAACCCCCCCCCACACTCCTCTCTCATAGGTCTATAAAATGATATGAAATTGTCACTCTTTTCCGCGGCGTTTGTGGCGACTTTCCGCCTCTGTGATTTTGCGCAATTATTCGCCCACTTTGTAGCGGGTTCCAGCGAGCCGCGATAGACGAGCTTATTCCTCTTTTTCCTCCACCTGGACGATTAATCTTACTTAATCTCGCCGTGTTTTTCCTCCGGAGAGATTAATCGCGGCAGATCTAATCACGCTTCAGCGAAAGACCCTCAAAGCCGCAAAAGCGTCCGCACGCGGCGCGGCGGAGATCAATACCGGGGGACAAGCGAGTAACAAGAGCTGGAATATCAATGAGTCCCCTCGCCTATTGTCCTGTACATGGAGGCCCCCACCTTCGGGTCACCGGAACCTCGCGGCCCCTACGCGGCCTCCTGCGATTTGTACTCCACGCGTCGCCCTCCCGCCGTCTCCTTATATGCCGATCGGGCGCAATTCTCGGAGAGGCGACTTTGTTCCGCCGCGCCCTCTGCATGAGAATTGGTTGTATGTGAAGCGCAGTAAGGAGAGAAATATCTGCTGGAGGGTGAAGGGACGAGGATGAAAAGCACAGACGAGCGCTAGATGGCATGAAAACTGCGGGATGACGTAGACTGGAGAGCAGGGTGAAGGCGGAGGACTTCTTTATATGGCGGCTTCCTGTGGTTGCTGGGAAAAGGGAGACCGGTGATGGCCCCCCTCGGGGGCGCCAGGGAGGAGATCCGCCCCAACGATTGCCACGTCTTTCCGCTATTCCCTGGATTCCCAGTCATTGATGGTGTCACTCCCGAGATGGAGAGTCCAATCATCCTGACCATCGCACCCGACACCTTCATCCACACAATCTACCCACCACCATACCCTCCAGGGGGGACATCTCCCCATTGTGGGAGGGGCAGAGATGCAGACTACTGGGGGGAAATCTCCCCATTGTGGGAGGGGCAGAGACACAAACTACTGAGGGAAATCTCCCCATTGTGGGAGGGGCAGAGACACAAACTACTGGGGGAAATCTCCCCATTGTGGGAGGGGCAGAGACACAAACTACTGGGGGAAATCTCCCCATTATGGGAGGGGCAGAGACACAAACTACTGGGGGAAATCTCCCCATTGTGGGAGGGGCAGAGACACAAACTACTGGGGGGAATCTCCCCATTGTGGGAGGGGCAGAGACACAAACTATTGGGGGGAATCTCCCCATTGTGGGAGGGACACAGACACAAACAACTGGGGGGAAATCTCATTGTGGGAGGGGCAGAGACACAAACTACTTGGGGGTAATCTCCCCATTGTGGGAGGGGCAGAGACACAAACTACTGGGGGAAATCTGCCCATTGTGGGAGGGGCAGAGACACAGTCTACTGGGGGGAAATCTCATTGTGGGAAGGGCAGAGACACAAACTACTTGGGGGAATCTCCCCATTGTGGGAGGGGCAGAGACACAAACTACTGGGGGGAATCTCCCCATTGTGGGAGGGGCAGAGACACAAACTACTGGGGGGAATCTCCCCATTGTGGGAGGGGCAGAGACACAAACTACTGGGGGGAATCTCCCCATTGTGGGAGGGACACAGACACAAACTACTGGGGGGAATCTCCCCATTGTGGGAGGGGCAGAGACACAAACTACTGGGGGGAATCTCCCCATTGTGGGAGGGACACAGACACAAACTACTGGGGGGAATCTCCCCATTGTGGGGAGGAGGGACACAGACACAAACAACTGGGGGGAAATCTCATTGTGGGAGGGGCAGAGACACAAACTACCGTTGATTATCTGACCACTGGGGTCTCTGAGCTGTAGAAGACTCTACCAGGTAGTCCACCTCCCCTCTGCCCATGTAGGACATGAATATCAGTTTGGGTGTAGTTGTCCTTTAAGTCTTAGTGTTCTGTGCCTCTTTCTATATGTTCTCAGTACAGATGTCGGATTTGGAAGCTCAGAGGGAAGTCGCTGGTTTTGGCCCCTGTGGCTGGGCCGGGTATATCTGTTTTCGCTCCGGTTGGGGCCCCGTCGCCTCGCTGGGCTGTGTGTTTGTAATCTGCTCAGACCTTGGCACACCTTGTCTGTCTGCACGCTTCTCTGCGGACACGCCATTAATCAGACAGGCGGCAAGCTGTGATTGGCTGATAAGCTTCACCTAGTGGACAGATTGAGGTGTTGGGAGAGATAACAGCAAATCCCGCCATTCCCTATCTCTGCAGATCTCGCTGTGCCATAGCCGCCCGTCCTCACCGGGTTTAATAGATCAGATCAGCTCCTGCTATTGGCTCATTGCAGAGAGAGGACATTATACAGCGCTGGGGGGGACCACAATGAGGGGCCATTTTATGCCTGGCATTGGGGCCTCCACTTCTGAAATGATGTTGGATGACGATTTCCAGTGAATATCTTATTCTGTAGAGGCAGCAACCCATCAATGGTTCACCAAAATCGGCAAAATAGCCGCGTCGTGTCTTACCGAACTTCTCTGGTTCATGAAACTTTGACTTGGAAACTTCAGATATAATAAAACCATTGAAAAGAGGCTAAAAAAGTGCTGTGTCTCTGCCCCTCCCACAATGGGGACATTTCCTTAAGTAGTTTGTGTCTCTGCCCCGCCCACAATGGGGACATTTCCTTAAGTAGTTTGTGTCTCTGCCCCTCCCACAATGGGGAGATTTCCTGCAGTAGTTTCTGTCTGCCCCTCCCACAATGGGGAGATTTTCCCCAGTAGTTTGTGTCTCTGCCCCACCCACAATGGGGAGATTTCCCACAGTAGTTTGTGTCTCTGCCCCCGCCCACAATGGGGAGATTTCCTTAAGTAGTTTGTGTCTCTGCCCCTCCCACAATGGGGAGATTTCCTGCAGTAGTTTGTGTCTGCCCCTCCCACAATGGGGAGATTTCCCCCAGTAATTTGTGTCTCTGCCCCACCCACAATGGGGAGATTTCCCACAGTAGTTTGTGTCTCTGCCCCGCCCACAATGGGGAGATTTCCTCCCTTAGTTTGTGTCTCTCTGCCCCTCCCACAATGGGGAGATTTCTCCTGCAGTATTTCATGTCTCTGCCCCTCCCACATTGGTGAGATTTCCTGCAGTAGTTTGTCTATGCCCCTCCCACATTTTTTAGATTTTTTTCCCCCAGTAGTTTGTCTCTCTGCCCCTCCCACAATGGGCAGATTTCCTGCAGTAGTTTGTGTCTTTGCCCCTCCCACATTTTTGAGATTTCCCCCAGTAGTTTGTGTCTCTGCCCCTCCCACAATGGGGAGATTTCCCCCAGTAGTCTGTGTCAATGCCCCTCCCACTATGGGGAGATTTCCCCCAGTAGTTTGTGCCTCTGCCCCCCCCACAATGGGAGATTTCCTGTAGTAGTTTGTGTCTCTGCCCCTTCCACAATGGGGAGATTTCCTGCAGTAGTTTGTGTCTCTGCCCCTCCCACAATGGGGAGATTTTCTGCAGTAGTTCGTGCCTCTGCCCCTCCCACAATGGGGAGATATACTGCAGTAGTTGGTGTCTCTGCCCCCCCCCCCCCCACAATAGGGAGATTTCCTGTAGTAGTTTGTGCCTCTGTCCCTCCCACAATGGGGAGATTTCCTGCAGTAGTTCATGCCTCTGCCCCTCCCACAATGAAGGTGTTTCTCTCTCACAGCCAAACTTCCTAACTCTTTGTGTATACTAGATTACGTAGAATCCATTGGGGAAGGGTGACACCATCACCAAGGGGTCAACTAGACATTGTTTTGAGAAAACTGTGTTGGGACCGGTTTTGGCTCAAGTTGTCTTGCAGTTGGTATGAATGGTGCACCATGGGATTGTCCACAACCTGCCATGATGCTGCATTGGGCCCCGGGAGGATCAATTACACTGAACATTAGACACCTCTAGGGATTCATCACCAATTTGGGGAAATCTCTGAAGATGAGAGGACATTGTTGGTGAATGGTGATGTGATGGGGGAATGGAAGGGAATTGTAGAAGTTGAACTCTTCGGAACTGAGGAGACGAGAAGAGATTCTCATCTGTGAGATACGAATAGATTTCTTCACGTTCTGGGACTAGACAAAGGATGAGGAACATTTGGGGAAATCTCTGAAGATGAGAGGACATTGTTGGTGAATGGTGATGTGATGGGGGAATGGAAGGGATTTGTAGAAGTTGAACTCTTCGGAACTGAGGAGACGCAAAGAGATTCTCGTCTTTGAGATATGAATAGATTTCTTCACGTTCTGGGACTAGACAAAGGTTGAGGAACATTTGGGGAAATCTCTGAAGATGAGAGGACATTGTTGGTGAATGGTGATGCGATGGGGGAATGGAAGGGATTTGTAGAAGTTGAACTCTTCGGAACTGAGGAGACGCGAAGAGATTCTCGTCTGTGAGATACGAATAGATTTCTTCACGTTCTGGGGACTAGACAAAGGATGAGGAACATTTGGGGAAATCTCTGAAGATGAGAGGACATTGTTGGTGAATGGTGATGTGATGGGGGAATGGAAGGGATTTGTAGAAGTTGAACTCTTCGGAACTGAGGAGACGCGAGGAGATTCTCGCCTGTGAGATACGAATAGATTTCTTCACGTTCTGGGACTAGACAAAGGTTGAGGAACATTTGGGGAAATCTCTGAAGATGAGAGGACATTGTTGGTGAATGGTGATGCGATGGGGGAATGGAAGGGATTTGTAGAAGTTGAACTCTTCGGAACTGAGGAGACGCGAAGAGATTCTCGTCTTTGAGATATGAATAGATTTCTTCACGTTCTGGGACTAGACAAAGGTTGAGGAACATTTGGGGAAATCTCTGAAGATGAGAGGACATTGTTGGTGAATGGTGATGCGATGGGGGAAAGGAAGGGATTTGTAGAAGTCGAACTCTTCGCAACTGAGGAGACGCGAAGAGATTCTCGTCTGTGAGATACGAATAGATTTCTTCACGTTCTGGGACTAGACAAAGGATGAGGAACATTGGCCGCGGTTGGGTCATTGACCCGAGTCGTTGAGCCATGCTCTGTTGGTATTCGTAGGAAGAATGGCGGTGAAGTGAGTCGGAAGAAGTGTTGATGGAGCCATAATTGAGGTTAAGGAAGGTTAATGGCTGTGAAGGTCAGGAGAACGCTTCATCCTTTTGTCCTACTCGCTGGGCCTGATAAGAAGATGTCCCCGGCTGTCATGGGTGAGGTGTATCTCACAAATACAAATGTTTCCACTCAAACAGCCCCCCCCCCCCCCAATGTGCGCAGTTGTTTTGGTAGAGCCCCCCTATTTTGGAGCACCCTACGACTGCAGAGCTGGGACGCGGTCTGACGCGTGCCAGGGTGACACGTGGACCGGCCCTCCCGCCTCTTCTGGTCACATGACTCACAGGTGGCTGGCTAAATTTATCTGCCAGTGTCTAATTTGTGGCACATAAATAGCAGATCCTAGATTAGTGCGATGCGTGCAAAATCTCAACGACCACTTCATCGCCGGAGCGGAGAACGAGAGAGAGCTGCTTATTATCCCCTCCAGCTTGTGTTTCAGGGTGACGCGCTTCCTAGCAACCGAATGTAATGACACGGAGTAACTCCTCGCTGTCACGGGAGATAAAACCGCCAACATCTGCTCCATGCTGATAAGTCATGTGACGTGCCGCGCCATAGACTCCATGGCCGTTGGGCCCCGTACACCTGGGCTTTCACAGGGAACATACGGTTTGCAATGCTGTTACCCTGAAAATGCGGCATGGGGGTCTTCAGGTTGCCTCGAATGCAGCATGTTCGCTGTACCCAACCGATTCTTTAGAGGCCTAATCCCCGTTCGGTGGCCCAAGGGCCACGTACTGGCCTTTGGTACTTAATGTGCGGTCCTCGGGCCCTAACAGAAGGTGGTTGGTATTTTCCTTGTCTAGGTTCACTCAGGGACAGTAAAAGGAATTATTCATTAAACTGGTTTCTGTTTCTTTCACACATCTGTACTATTTATGAGCTTTGCGTTCTTTTCCAATCTTTCTATAATGGATCTTGCTGGGAGGAATATCAGATGTGCCGCCAATAATTATATAGAGGACTGTGGGGAGCTCTGAGCTTTTAAATGGACTAAAAGGCCAATGAAATCTAGCAGTGTAATTTAATGTGTCCCTGGTCTCTCCTGCAGCAGGTCTCCAGTCTCCAACCACCTCCTGTAAGATGTTCCCAGTCTCCAACCAACTCCTGTAGGATGTCCCCAATCTCCAACCGCGCCTGTAAGATGTTCCCAGTCTCCAACCACCTTCTATAAGATGTTCCCAGTCTCGAACCACCTCCTGTAGGATGTCCCCAATCTTTAACCACCTCCTGTAAGATGTCCCAAGTCTCCAACCAACTCCTGTAGGATGTCCCCAATCTCCAACCGCATCCTGTAAGATGTTCCCAGTCTCCAACCACCTCCTGTAAGATATTCCCAGTCTCCAACCACCTCCTGTAAGATGTTCTTAGTCTCCAACCACCTCCTGTAAGATGTCCCAAGTCTCCAACCAACTCCTGTAGGATGTCCCCAATCTCCAACCACCTCCTGTAAGATGTTCTTAGTCTCCAACCACCACCTCCTGTAGAATGTCCCCAATCTCCAACCACCTCCTGTAAGATGTTCCCAGTCTCCAGCCACCTCCTGTAGGATGTCCCCAATCTCCAACCACCTCCTGTAAGATGTTTCCAGTCTCCAACTACCTCCTGTAGGATTTCCCCAGTCTCCAACCACCTCCTGTAAGATGCCCCCAGTCTCCAGCCACCTCCTGTAAGATGCCCCCAGTCTCCAACCACCTCCTGCAAGATGCCCCCAGTCTCCAACCACCTCCTGTAATATGTTCCCAGTCTCCAACCACCTCCTGTAGGATGCCCCCAGTCTCCAACCACCTCCTGTAAGATGTTCCCAGTATACAACCTACTCCTGTAAGATGTTCCCAGTCTACAACCACCTCCTGTAGGATGCCCTCAGTCTCCAACCACCTCCTGTAAGATATTCCCACTCTCCAACTACCTCCTGAAATAAGTTCCCAGTCTCCAACCACCTCCTGTAGGATGTCCCCAATCTCCAACCACCTCCTGTAAGATGTTCCCAGTCTACAACCTACTCCTGTAAGATGTTCCCAGTCTCCAACCACCTCCTGTAGGATGTCCCCAATCTACAACCACCTCCTGTAGGATGTCCCCAATCTACAACCACCTCCTGTAAGATGTTCCCAGTCTCCAACCACCTCCTGTAGGATGTCCCCAATCTCCAACCACCTCCTGTAAGATGTTCCCAGTTTCCAACCACCTCTTACAGAATGTCTGTAGTCTTCATCCATGTCCTGTAGCATGTCCCTAGTTTCCAGCTGCGTCCTGCTGCATGTTCCCAGTCTCAAAGCACATCTTGTAGCATGCCGCCAGTTTTCATCTATGTCCTGTAGCATGTTCACAGTCTTCAACCACATTCAGTAGCATGTCCCCGGTCTCCAGCCACTTGTTATTGAATGTCCCCAGTCTTCATCCATGTCTCATAACATGTCCCCAGTCACCAACCACATCCTTTAACATGTCCCCATTCTCCAGCCACATTCTGAACCATGTCCCCAGTCTCCAACCACATCCAGTAGGTTGTCCCCAGTCTCTAATCACATCCTGTAGCATGTCCCCAGTCTTCAGCCACCTCCTGTAGGATGTCCCCAATCTCCAACCACCTCCTGTAAGATGTACTCACTCCCTAGTCTCCAACCACCTCCTGTAAGATGTCTACAGTCTCCAATCACCTCCTGTAGGATGTTTGCAGTCTCCAACCACCTCCTGTAGGATGTCCCCAATCTCCAACCATTCCTGTAAGATGTCCCCAGTTTCCAACCATCTCTTACAGAATGTCCGTAGTCTTCATCCATGTCATGTAGCATGTCCCTAGTTTCCAGCTACATCCTGCTGCATGTCCCCAGTCTCCAACCACATCCTATAACATGTCCCCATTCTCCGGCCACATTCTGAACCATGTCCCCAGTTTCCAACCACCTTCTGTAGGATGTCCCAAGTCTCCAACCACCACCTGAAGGATGTCCCCAGTCTCCAACCACCTCCTGTAATATATTTCCAGTCTCCAACCACTTCCTATAACATGTCCCCAGTTTCCAACCATCTCCTGTAGGATGTCCCCAGTCTTAAATCACATCCTGTAGCAAGTCTCCAGTCACCTCTTGTTGCTTGTCCCCATTCTACAACCATGCCTTGTAGCATGCCCCCAGCATCCAATCACGTCATGTAACATGTTTCCAGTCTCCTTCTTGTAGCATGCCCATAGTCTCCATCCATGTCCTGTAGCATGTCCCCAATCTCCAAGAATGTTCTGTAACAATTTCTAAGTCTCCAATCACCTCTTGTAGCATGTCCCAATCTCTAACTATGTCCTGTAGCATGCCCCCAGTCTCCAACCACCTCCTGTAGGATGTCCCCAGTCTCCAACCCCCACTTGTAGAAGGTACCCAGTCACCAACCATGTCATATAGCATGTCCCCAGTCTCCAACCATGTCATATAGCATGTGCCCAGTCTTCCCATGTTCACATTCTCCAACCAGCTCCTGTAGGATGTTCCCATTCTCCAACTTCCACTTGTAGAAGGTACCCAGTCACCAAC